GGGTCTCGGAGATCTACGGATGCACGGGGATTATTGGCGTCAGTTCGGAAGAATTCGCAAATGAATCACAACTGAGCCAGGACAAGTGCAAGGGGCACCCAAGATAGTAGCAGATGGTGATATAAATTAATCGGGGTTGTTTCCTCTTAATTGAAGAGTTGAGATAGGGACCTTGCGAGATATGGTGACTTGATAAAAAGCCAGCCATTTCCAGCCAAAGACAGGTAGGTACCTCCCCCTTTCTTGACAAATGGGGTGTTTCCAATAGCGATCACATGAAGGTATAAAAAAAATGTCACACAAAGCATGAAAAAACATACCTCCACGGAGCTCATATACTTCCACCTCGTCGCCTCTTGAGGCAGCATACAGGGCTGCCAAGGCACCCACTGGGCCGGCACCCACAACAACCACTTTCTGCCTCGGAATGGCCATCATGTACCTTGGTCAATGTCCAAAATCCAAACAGGTACGCGCTGAAACGGAAGAGTCAGTCCTCATCACGTGCGAGATCGGCCCCTTCCAAGATTCCTAAATGAGATGATCGACATTAGTCATTTTATTTATTGCCTTTATGCCTCAGGCTAGGTTCAGATATTTGGGTGCTAGTCCAAATGAGGCCTAGTTCCATATCGTCTTGCGGCCGGCGGGGATTTTCTTGAAGTTTTGGCCGCCATTTAATCCACTCTCTACTAAATATTCTCTGGCTCTTATTTTTATTTCTTTTCGCTTCTGCTATTTAAATATGGCTGAAGTTGGGAATCGCAAATGCAAGGGTGTGGACTGCCCTAACGACGCAGGCACCCTCCAATGTCCAACATGTCTAAAGAGCGGCACGGACAGTTTCTTCTGTTCGCAGGACTGTTTCAAGAGAAGCTGGGTAGGTACTTCGATGTGACTAGAAGATCCGCAATACAGGCGCCCTTCTACCCCGGAAACCAAGGGCTGACCACCTACTCTAGAGCGAACATAAGAGCATTCACAAAAAGAGTAATATCCTCACCAACCTTTTTCCTCCGAAGGTAGTTTCTGAACCAGATCCAGCTACCGGAACCTTCAATCCGTACCCATCCTTCCCTTACAGCGGTTCTTTGAGGCCCGTCTATCCTCTGTCCGCCAAACGAACGGTTCCCAAGACGATCCCGCACCCGGACTACGCCCGCGATGGTATTCCCCGCTCCGAGCAGAAAATCATCGGCCGTCATAATATCACCGTCCTGAATAAGGAGGAGCAAGAGGCCATGCGCAAGGTTTGCCGATTGGCTCGTGAGGTTTTGGATACTGCTGCACGTGAATTGAAGCCTGGTGTCACCACAGACTACATCGACGAGGTAGTCCACAAGGCTTGTATAGAGCGTGATGTACGAGGAGTTACTCTCTGATCACACAATACCATACTGACATATTTATAGTCTTACCCCTCGCCGCTGAACTACATGAACTTCCCCAAGTCCGTATGTACCTCGGTAAACGAGACCATCTGCCACGGTATTCCCGATCAACGGCCCTTAAAGGATGGAGACATTGTCAACATCGATGTCACTCTGTACCACAAAGGATTCCACGGCGATATCAACGAGACCTACTATGTTGGAGACAAGGCACTTGCCGACCCCGACGCCGTCCGAGTGGTGGAGACCGCTCGTGAATGTTTGGACCAGTCAATTGACCTGGTCAAGCCTGGCATGCTGTTCCGCGAACCTGGCAATGTCATTGAGAAGCATGCCAAGGGCCGTAACTGCAGTGTCGTCAAGAGCTACTGCGGCCACGGTATCAACCAGTTGTTCCACTGTGCGCCCAACATTCCCCATTATGCTAAGAACAAGGCTGTGGGCACTGCCAAGCCCGGTATGTGCTTTACCATTGAGCCCATGATCAACATTGGTACCCACCGTGACCGCACTTGGCCCGACGACTGGACCAGTACTACCCAGGACGGATCTCTGTCAGCCCAGTTCGAGCACACCCTTCTCGTAACTGAGGATGGTGTCGAGGTGCTGACTGCCCGTCTGGCTGACTCACCCGGTGGACCCGTTCCTATGCCTTCGACAGCATGAACTTAGACAATTGGGAGTCAACTAATTGGAAATATTTGCATATCATACTACCTATTTAACAGCCAAATGTACGACGGTTCAATGTCTATCAGTATATAGTTCCATAATTGAGGTAATGTATCAAAATGAATACAACATAGGGCTATAGGTCAAGCAAAAGTTTGCCGATGTCGTCGCAGATCAAAGGTCTGGGTGGCATAAGTCCGAGGAAAGAGTGCATTTGATTGGCCGCAACGGGTAAGTCGGGGGGTGAGGGGCGTGTTATCGGCAGGTGGAGAATTTTGGGGTTAGATGCTCTCGCTCTCCTCTTTTTTTTTTTTCCCCCGTAGATGTTCAGTCAAGTCATTTCGACTTTGAGACAATCTGGAGCGACCTGGCGACACAAGTCTCGATAATGGCTCTAGAGACTTCTCCTACCGAGAATTCCCCGTTGCTGGGATCAGCGTCCTCCAACGGCTCCAACGGCACGATTCCCGATCACCATGTGGAATCAGGGAATCCAGCTCAAACAGAGGAGCAAGGCAAAGAGCCATTTCCCGATGCACAGAAACAGCTCAAATATATTGTGCCTGCCATCTCGCTAGGAGTATGAAGTCTTTCTTATACATTCCGTTTTCTGAAATCATAATTGTAACTAACGGAATGTATAGATATTCTTGTCAGCGGCAGACCAGACAATTATCATGGCTAGTTATGGTCAGATTGGTAGTGATCTTAAAGCTCTTAATCTAACTAGCTGGATTGCTACTTCTTACTTTCTGACTTTAACCTCTTTCCAGCCTTTATATGGCAAGCTGAGCGATATATTTGGTCGCAAGCCATGTCTGCTCTTTGCATATGCGATTTTTGGCATTGGATGCTTGGGATGCGGTATGGCTCGGGATATCAATGAGTTGATCGCTGCTCGTGTATGTTCGCGTATGATCTCAAGCCTGAATCATGTAATGCTAACGATTTCTAAACAGGTCTTCCAAGGCATTGGTGGTGGTGGTATGACCACTGTCGTCAGCATTTTGATGAGTGATATTGTTCCTCTTCGCAATCGAGGCCTGTGGCAGGGTATCATCAATATCATCTATGCCACAGGCTCCGGTACCGGTGCACCCTTGGGTGGAATTCTCTCCGACTACATTGGCTGGCGCTGGTATGAATGATGCAAGACCCACATGTCCTCACGCCATCTGACGTTTCTTTCTAGGGCGTTTTTAGCGCAATTCCCTCTCTGTGTGATTGCATTCATTGCTGTAACCTTCCTTTTAAAGCTACCCCCTCGCGAGAGCGCCCATTGGAAGACCAAGCTGCGACGCATCGATTTCCTTGGCGCTGTGGTCCTTGTTGGTGCCGTTCTTGGTTTCCTAATTGGTCTTGATCGTGGCAGTAATGTGTCATGGAGATTACCTCTGACAATTGCCTCTCTTGGTGTCTCCGCTGTTTTGTTCGTGATCTTTATCCTAGTTGAGATCTACCTAGCAGCTGAACCCTTTGCGCCTGGTCACATCATCTTCAACCGAACGTTCTTTGCTTGCTATTGTTGCAACTTCTTCAGCTTTGGGGGATGGATTGCCGCTCTGTTCTATATCCCTTTATACTTCCAAGCGGTAGATGGTGTCTCTGCTACAACTGCAGGACTGCGCTTATTGCCAAGCATTATGTCTGGTGTCTCTGGATCAGTGCTTGCAGGCTTGTTGATGAAATGGTATGGCAAGTATTACTGGCTGACAATTGCTGCGTATACTTTCCTTACAACTGGTGTGCTCTGTATATACCTGTTCTCCGGTGGTGCGGTGGCTAGTTCAGTCCCCATGATCTTGGGCATGGTAGTTTCGGCATTTGGCAATGGCATTGGTGTCACTACAACCTTGATCGGCTTGAGTAAGTTCCCATCTGATCTTGCTCTACAAACTTTCAATACATGCTAACCACTCCACCAGTATCGAACGCCACTTATGAAGATCAGGCAGTGGTCACTGCTTGCTCCTATCTGTTCCGCTCATTGGGATCTGTCATTGGTCTCTCTTTATCATCAACCGTCGTTCAGCAAGTCTTACGGAGTCGTTTGAAATCAGGTCTACGCGATAGTAAGAATATCGATCAGATCGTTGAAAGAGTGCGAGAAAGTTTGGAGTTTATCAAAACCCTCGACCCAGCAACTGCCAGGATTGTCCGGGACTCTTATGGCTGGTCCACCAACAAGGGATTCGCCTTCATGGTTTGTGTGGTGTTCTTTGCTTTGTTGAGCAGCTGTTTCATTCGTGAAAGCAAACTCAACCGCTAATTCACAGGTGAAACTCCATACTTCAAAAGGATACAGAATTTCATTTTTTGAAAAGCGACAAACCTTGCATGGGAATTATTACGGTATATGCTCTATCTAGCATTAGGATTGGCTTAGAAATTTTCTATGCTTGTTGCAAATATATACCAAAGAAGCGACCAAATATATACTGGATATAAAAGACTTTTTGTATCTATGCCAAAATCCAATCGAGAAAAGAACATGCATCTGTAGGTTTCCAAGACACGGATCAGCTAAAGAGGTAAGCATAATATGCCATCTGCCGATGTATCTATAAGAGTTTAACGATTTTGCAGCTCTCCTGTCTGCATTTGAAAAATTTTGTTGCTTCTCGTAGCTTCGTAAATCGTAGGTATGCTGTAGGGCTCTGCCCAGGCCAAGAGCTCCAGGGCTGGCCCGGGCTCCAGTATAGCTTACTAAGCCGATATCTGGGCGTGGGTCTTGTCAGCAACCCCGTTGACGTTTCAACCTTGGAAAATGTTATCCAGTTGACTCATTGTTCATCTATTCTAGTTGAGTGTCTTGATTGACACTTTGCGGGTCTGACTTGATCTGCTTATCCAACTGTGATCAGAATGAGCTACCACCTTGTGTTCCTAACGTTTTTGTGCAGCTCCCGCTAGCTCAACTTCCGCTAAATCTCCGTCATGTCCGACTCGCGCCCAGGGCCAGTCTCACTGGCACGATATCGACCTATCCTCTACCTCTTTACTGGTGTCGCTGCTGCGTACGCGATTCTCTACGTCCACAATAATGTCCTTTCGCAGTCATCATCAACTTCACTCCGGCGTCGAAATGCTGTGCGCCGCACGAGAGCAACCGAAGCTGAAGAACATGGGATCGTTGATACTCCGTCGTATCGAGCCATTACCCACCTTGAACAACTAGAGCGTCAGAATGGTGTATATGGGACATTTCGCATTGAGACAGAGGATGGGCGTCGCGTGGAGAGCGGTCTTCTTCCATCACTCCTCGCAACACGCGACCAGCTGATGGAAGAAGTCGGGGTCCCGCCTGCTCATGCAGAGCGCATGCGCGAGATGATGGAGGATACGTTTCTTGAATCCTTCCTTGCACTCGATTTCCCATCTGCACACGTTCTCCCAGAGAACACCCCAGAAAGAACATACTTGACAGAGCAACTTCAACGCCGAGGCATCTCCAGAGCTGGTATTGAAAGGGCTCTGATACGGTTCAACGGAGATATCAATTATGGAGAGGAGCTGCGTCGGCGACGACAGAATGGTGAACGTGTCACTCTCTCAACCTCTACCTTTCCAGACATGTCTGCGCCTCCACAAAATCCCGACGCCGGTGAGACGGTGGACGACCAAAGTGTCTTCTCGTGGCGTGATGGAAACAATGATCCTTCCAATAGGGAAGGCCAGAACCTACTTAATCTGCTTTACCACATCGCTGAGGATCAGGCGCGGAGGGACGGCTATATCCATCGTGGAGTTACTTGCAACAGCTGCGGTGCCGTGCCGATTCAAGGTATCAGGTATCGATGTGCCAATTGCATCGACTACGATCTTTGTGAGACATGCGAGGCAATGCAGGTCCACATCAAGACACATTTGTTCTACAAAGTGCGGATTCCAGCCCCATTCTTAGGAAACCCTCGTCAATCTCAACCTGTATGGTATCCCGGGAAGCCTTCAATGCTCCCGCGCAGCCTTCCACGCCCTCTTGCCAAGCGTCTTATGAAAGACTGCAATTTCGAAAACACGGAGCTTGATGCACTCTGGGATCAGTTCCGCTGTTTGGCCAGTCATGAATGGGTGAACGACCCGAACAAGTTGCATATGGCCATCGATCGCAAAACATTCGATCGATGCTTTGTGCCTAATACTTCTATCCGGCCGCCACCGCCCAGTCTCATTTACGACCGAATGTTCGCATTTTATGACACCAACGGCGACAATCTTATCGGGTTTGAAGAATTCCTGAAGGGTTTGGCTAGTCTGAACAATAAAAGCAACGACGAGCGGCTGCGACGTGTATTCCGTGGCTACGATATCGACGGGGATGGCTTCGTCGAACGCAAAGACTTCCTTCGGGTTTTCAGAGCTTACTATGCGCTGAGCCGGGAGCTTACAAGGGACATGGTTGCTGGCATGGAGGATGACTTCTTGGAGGGTGGAGCTCGTGATGTAGTTCTCGGTAGCCAGCCTATCAGCTCTGCATTCCCTGGCAATATCCCTGCAGGTGAACCTTCTCGCACAGGCGAAGGCAAGCGCATGAACTCTGATGGGGACATGGAAATCGTCGACAATGGAGGAATCCTGCGACAGGACGGAGATGATACGGGTGATCGACATGTGGTTGTGGGCGATGCTGCTGTCAGAGCACAGTTTTCTCGAATGAGGCCATTGTTCCCATCTACACTACGCCTGGCATCCACCGAAACTCCTCCTCCTCTTCGCCCGTCGGATATCATGGAAGGTTACCGAAATGACGACAACGAAGAACACGAAGACGGTGCTAGTGAGACCAGTGGATCAGACCAATCTAGCTCGTCGGTGGCCAGTGGCACCTGGCCCCCAGCTGAACACATCCTCGAAGAAGATATCATCGAGGCCCTTGGGACCTATATTCCCGCTCGAGAAATTACGGATCCAATTGATCGGGCTCGCGTCGCGGATGCAGTTTATCAAAGAATGCGCGAAGACGATCAAAGACGTGTGTTTGACGCTCGTCAGCATGGAATCAACGAACGTTGGAGACGCCGAGCTTTCTATACAGATGAGGAGGATGGGGCCACTGTCCCTGAGGGGTATGAAAGGGATCCAGCTATCGATGATTCCAGTGATGAAGACCTAGATGAATCTGGATCGCGCCCACCCTCTTTCCGTTCGCGGTCCTCGTCCAAGGTGCGATTCCAGGATGATCTCAATGATGACGAGTACGACGTTCGATCTAACCCATCAACTTCATCGCGGAGCATTCCTGTTGGCGAGCGATGGGGTGGCTTTGAAATCCCAGAGGTCGAAAGGGATGTTGGGAAAGAGATATTGTATCAAGTCACACAACAAGGATTCAATGAGCTTCTAGATATTCTGTTCAAGCCAAAAGAGGACCTTCTGATGGAGGTTTATCGCACACGAGCTGAGCGCAAGATCTGGGCCCGCGAGATTGAACTCGCAGGAAAGGAGGACCCTTCAAAACGTACCCCGCCTGAGAATGCTCCAGTTGAGGAGGAACTTGAGGAAAGTATCAAGGAACAGCCACTTGATGATCTATTACAGCGCGCTGGTTACGGGATTCAAAGCCCAGTCCTAGCACCTGCCAACACCGAACCAGTGCCTGAGCCCACCGCCTCAGATGATGATAGTAATGAAGACGAATATGAAGATGACGATGAAGACGATGTGCGGCCGACTCATCCCGCCGGCCCCGAATGTGATACTGGGTTTGGGCAAACACGGCCCTTTGAGGAATCCGACACGGCGTCCGCCATCTCGTCTGATTATGACGACGATATCACTGCCTCTCAAGCATCTGATGTGGGACCCTCCCCAATTGTTGAAGACGATACACTTTACTACGATCCAACACTCCCGCAACATCGTCCTCACACAGAGATAACCCCAGAAGTAATTGATGAATCAGACTCCGACCCCGATCTCCCTGCTCAGCTTCGACTCCAGCCCGGGATCACCTCTCTTCCCGCGCCATCTTCTCCCCGCTCCCCCCCAGAAGCCGAAGCCACGGCCCCTAAGCCTCCTCCTTCTCCTATGCAACCACTCCCACCCCCTCACCGGGTCAATGACCAGCCTCGTGACGCCCCTCCCCCACGCCGACCTTCGCCCCGGACTTTAGCCCGGTGGGTCTATTTAGACCAGGTAGAACGTGAAAATAAGGAACGTGGCGGTGCGAGACTCAACTTTGAGGAGTTTTCACGCCGTATGGCTGCTGATCGGGGACGCCGACTGGCATTTGTGGCCACTTGGATTGAGATGGCTAGCTTTTGATTCTGAGAAAGTTCCTAGATTAACCTAGGTGTACATTATTATTGTAATTTAGCGGGATGAGTTGAGCTAAAAATTTGTTGATATAATGACAATTTGGTCAACTACAAAAAAAAGATGTCTAATTTTCTAGTTGTTCAATGGACAGGAATAAAAGTGGGTTCTAGTATTGACATATATATTAGCCCATATATATAACGTCCACTAGCTCACCCTGTAACGGAGCTTACACTTGATTTCCCTGTACTATTATTCAGAAGATATGGCGAAAAAAAAAAGTCAAGTCTTTTGCCGGGGCCGTGCCCAGCCCTGGAGGCGTGGATGCCCCCTCATATTACGTGCTTTTAAGGACCAATGGCTCACTTTGCACCATTGTTATCATCGGGATGTTGAAGATTATCTTCCAGCATTCCCCTTATCGATTTGGCTATAACTCAAAGGCTCTGCTGTCTCCAGTATACAAGCTAGCACCAGTTATGCCCTCAGCCGCCGTGGGTCTATACGGCTGAGAGATAAAATCAGGATATCGTGATTACGATGGATCGTGACGTGCTGTGTTCTCTTGCTGCAAGAGTATGCGACCTTAGGATCCATCGCCATGCAGTACTAATAGTGACTCTCTCCGCTGCTATGATCCGTATAGGAACCTCCCATATCCATCATGGCTTTCGGTCATCTGACCCGGTTCTACCGGTCATGTCTACTCCAGATTATCATTGTGGGATTAGTCGCATTTTGCGAACCCGGAATCTGGACTGCTCTTAATAATCTTGGAGCTGGAGGCAATGCCAAAGTAAGTCATCAATTGTTGGGACATCTGCGCGATTGCCGCTAACATATTATGCAGCCTTTCCTGAACAATGCCGCCAATGCCTTGACATACGGACTCATGTCAGTAGGCTGCTTCCTTGCCGGTGGCGTCACCAACAAAATCACTGCAAAATGGACATTGTTCATTGGAGCCGCATTCTACACTCCCTATGCTGCTGGTCTTTACTGCAACAATCGTTATGGCAACGAGTGGTTTCTCCTGCTCGGAGCTGCTCTTTGTGGGATTGGGGCGTCTCTTTTATGGGCTAGTGAGGCTGCCATTGCAGTTGGGTATCCAGAGGAGGAGAAAAGAGGACGGTAGGTTGAAACTCTTGGCCATCTAGTCGTCATTTGACTGACCGTCATGTTTAGCTACGTTGCAATCTGGATGAGTATCCGGCAGATGGGACCGCTGGTTGGTGGTTCAATATCTCTCGCTCTCAATGTCAATACCGCGCACGTTGGCAAGGTCACCTACACAACATACTTAGGACTTGTTGCCATCTCATCCCTCGGGGCACCATTTGCGTTGCTGTTGTCACAGCCACAGGATGTTATCAGAAGTAATGGCACCAAGATCCCTTATATGAAGAAGACGAGCCTCGCTATCGAGGCTCGCGCTATCTGGAAGCAACTTTCGAATAAGTACATGTTGCTACTCATCCCGGTCTTCCTCGCAGGACAGTTTGGTGTAACTTATCAGGGGAACTATTTAACAAGTATGGCATCTCCAATCCTCTTGGGTTAGTTATGAATGGCCTCGCTGACTGTAAACTTAGCTTATTTCACCGTCCGCTCCAGAGCCCTTGCGTCTTTCCTCACAGCCGTGGTCGGCGCCACCGCCAACGTGGTGACGGGCATATTTCTTGATTTGAAATTTTTGTCTCGAGGAACCAGATCTAAGGCTGTGTACATATTTGTCCTTGTCTTTATCACAGCAGCTTGGATATGGAACGCCATCACCGAGACGAAACTTTCCCGCATGGCTGAACCACCCGCCTTCGACTTGGGTGATGGACCATTCTTCAACTCGGCTTTCACTGTCTATATATTCTTCCGGTTCTTCTATGAGGTGCTGCAGACATATATCTATTGGTTGATGGCCGAGATCAAGGGAGCGCAGGCAGATGGCGATATCGCGAGAACAACCGGAATCCTGAGATCGTGGGAGTCCATCGGCAGCACGATTGCCTATGCGGTCGGGGCAACTCACTGGGCTAACTTGAATCAGATGATATTGGGCTTTGCACTATGGGGTTTTACAATTCCATTCACACTTCTTGCGGTGTTTGGCAATTGGAACGTCTCGGACACGCTTGAGGTGGAGGAGGAAACGGACAGCAGTAGCTTAGAGGCACAGAGGGTGGTCATCGGTTCTGACGGGAAGGACTAGGATACGTTCTGTTGGTATATGAGATATTTAGAGTGAAATTAGCAAGGAAATTATCCAAGTGATTGTCCAACATAATAGAGCTTGTGCTCATGTGTGCCCTAAATATATAGATAGGATTGAACAGCAATATTAGTTTATTATAATATGTATATGTTTGTCTCTGACCCTTCCCATGTATCCACCTCTCGGTTACTAATACTAGATTGAAACTGTCCAATGCCCATCTAGTTATTAGTATTGGGTGTGAATGCCAATTCGATGTCTCAACATGGGTTGTATAGTATGGTATTGACCATTCTAGTTGATAATGTCAAAGCTGGGTGTTCCTTCCATCAATTGGTCCAAGTGGCCTAACAGTCTCCTGGTCTAGCGGTTATGATTTTCCGTTAACAAATGCGATTAGCAGATGTTCCGGAAAGGTTCTGGGTTCGATTCCCAGGGAGACTATTTTTTTGCCCCTTTTTCATATTTAGCCTCATTCTTTTTTTGGCCCCTTAAGCAGTTCAAGTTATGTGAACTGATCTGTAGTAGAGCCACGAGACTATAGCGGTGGACACGAGGAACAATGCAACCCCAAACCTGGAATGTATGAAATCAGCAGAGGAAAAAACAGAAGTGGACCACCCAAGCGAGTCAAATTAGAGACATAGCATAAATCACAGACATAATCTCGTGCTGCATACAACAAAAACCGAAAGCATGACATGGTCGCGTAGCACAAGTGAAGACGTAAGAAGCATAGTAAACATATCAAAACATCCAACCCGAACGCCAGAATAAAAATAGAAATCAAACCGAGAAAACCAACAAAACCACCGCCCTATTACTGATTCCTTTCGTACCGCTGGCTGACACGTAGACCTGGGGGAGATGTGCGAGAGCTGGGCGATTATTTCCCTGCCAGTTTGAATGGGGTTTGGTTTCAATCATCCCTTCACCTGGGCTGGGTACGTAGGTGCGTAGGCTTTCGTCCTGGAAATCACGGAGGTTCTAGGGTACCTTTCCTCCAAGGGGGTTCGAACTTGACAATGGGGTATTCCAAAGGAGTCGTAAAAAAAAAGAAGAGAAAAGCAGGGGAGAAAAAAGCAGGACAATCCAAAGGGCTTCCATGGGAAGACACACAGAAACAGGACAGTGGCATCCAAGCGGGGACTCTAAAGACGGCCATTGTCCATCCAACGGATTCAAGGGGTTGCAAATCTTACACGACGGCCACGTCGCTCCAGAATCAGTTTCTCGGTGTCAACATAAAGACAATCGAGAAACTGCATGGCGCTAGAGTCCTTAAGGATCTTCGCGACCTGAGTACCCGCAGAAATGAGCTGCAACACGTTGCGGTCATCCTTGACTGGCCTAGACTGGTGCTTAGCAGCATGGCGCATCTCCAGGGAGTTCTCCAGGACAGTGATGAGCTGTTTAATTTGGCGGTTGTACAAGAGATGCGCTGGGATGCGGCGTGTAGTAGCCAGCCGCTTCAAAAGGTGTACCCATTCAGTCCACTCGCGGTCTGAGGGGACCTTGACGGGTCTCTTGTCCTGTTCGATAGGAACACGGAATTGGTACTTTGCGATGAAGTCATAGGCACACTGGGACAGGCGGTCGTTGACCTTGTGGAGGATGCTGTCTTGCTCACCGGCATCGAGGTTAGTAGGAAGCTGTGGGAGCTCTTTATCCTGGGCTGCGACAGCCTGTGGAGAGGGTGGCTCCAAGAACTGATACGGGCCATCAAATTCATTCCGGTTGGATGTCCGTCTCTGGGCATGATAGTGTGGGCTTCCTCTGGATCTCTCGGCAGATCGCTGGCTGTTTCCTTCCATGACATACTCCGGGCTTTCCGGGGGGTTCATTGTTCCAAGGCCCCGCCTCAGGGTGTCTTGAGGCAGGTGGATCGGCTGGCTCCATTCATAACTCTCAGGTGGTGGGTGGGCCTGTCCAGCTGGAGGATAGGATAAACGTCCCGAGGGTGGTGTGGGTGGACCCATCATGTACCTGTGGCTATCCAGGGGGACTGGAGCTCCGCGGTAATGGGTGGTCTGATGGTTAGAATCTGGACCGAAAGACGCTTGACGATCGTCTCTGTAGCCATATCCGTGGAGAGTAGATGGTGACCTTTTACCGTTTAGTAAAAGGAACGAAAGCGATTTTTGTCGATGATAGCTTGGGAGGAGTTTGTAATGAAGTGAACGATGACCAAACAATACCTTTGATAGATCACCGGAGAGATTGCTGGAGTTCCATACATGGGGTGCTGAGCCATGGTGCTGTTACGGGGTATGAGTTTTGGATTCCAATAGCTTTGGCACGGGAATAGAGAAGGGAATGGCAATGCTGATTCTGCTGACCTATGGGGAGACCGAGTATCAACTTTAGAGTTGATAGAGCTTGCACAAGAACTGAGACTTGCTGGCAAAGAGAACGGATAGACTGATCCAGCCGCCAGTGGGTGAGGAAGAACAGGAAGCATGAAGAAAGTCAGCCGGGAGTAATACCAGCCTTATATAAGAATTGGGAACAAGATCCTGAAGGACAACGAGAGAAAGAATATATCTATCAAGTGCGTTACCGAGCGAATGAATCTACAAACACCGAGCAAAGGGCAGGTATTATAGTCTTTTTTAGAAAGTCACTCTACCGGGCTCCGACAAATCAAGTGTGCCTGACCAAGGTGATCAGAGCCCTAGGTTTCTGCAACGGCAAAGTAACTGGATTGAGAGCCGCGCTAGAGGACTTTACGCTAGTGGCGTTGGTGGAGATGAAATCTATGGAGATGAGGCCTGTGTTGCCTGGGCAATGTTGATTCCAACGAAACCAGTTGGGTAACAGAACCTGAACCGTCCCCTGCCGTTTACGTTGAAGATCTCGATCGATCGAGAATAGGACCGGTGTGCAAAGCTCGTTGGCAGCCGAGGCGCCGTGAGACGCCTCTGGAAGTGCATAGAATGACTCCGATGGCATGGCAGACATTGCATCCAAAACCTCGATCTTCACAACTTAGGAGCGAAGCACCAGCAAACTGGCTGCCGCACCACCTCCATTGTGGTTCGATACTTGTATTGGGGGAGAGGCTCGGGCAGCAAGGTTGGTGTTGGGTAGAAAATGCAAGGACAGGGATTCTGGCCTTGGACATCATTGACCTATGGATACCCAAATGTGCAGATAGAAGAGGCGATCTGCGTCCTCGAAAGTCCTAGAAGAAATGCAAAGATGAGCTGAGGTAGGTGTAACAGGCAACTTCCGTGACGCGCGTAGTTAATCCGCGTTGGGCACTTGGGCTTTTTGGGGCCCAATGCAATAAGCCGCATGGGCCATGTCTCTATTCTGGGGACTCTTCTGGAGACTCAGGTGAAACAAAGAGGAAATTCAATATCAAAATTTTCAAATTTGGAGGGCTCAACTGTTCTGATGGCATACAATCCACCCTTGCAGCCCAATAAGAAGCCCAATGTCTATGCTTTCAGGGTCAAGGTTGCCTAGTGGGGTTGTAATCGGCCATAGGGGTTATGATAAAGTAATTCAAACTAAGGAGCGCCTTTCAAGCCCGAGAAAAGCATCGGAGTATTTCCAGGGTATCATTAACCCTAGACATTTGCCATGGAGCCGGAAATTCTATGTGGTTCTCCATCAACGTGGCATGTTATTGTTTTTGGTGGCTTCTACTGTTGGGAATGGGCAATTTTACCCCGAGGCGAGAAGCATAATCCTGGATTGCTTTAGTGAGTACGGCAGCAAAAGAGGTTGTCTTTGTGATATCTGCTTACCTCGCAACTCAAACGGATGGCTTCTTCGATGCCAATGCGCGCCTTATACCCCAAGATCTCCTTAGCCTTGTTACCACTAGCATATCGAATAGCACATGCATCTTGTACACTTCCACGGCTCAAATTTGTTGTTGTTCCCATCAACCAGGTGACAGTTTCACACGCCAGCCCGGCGAAGTAAGCCAGACTCTTTGGGATATGCATTTCAAAAGGCGGGACGTGCCCAAAATGCGCCCAGATTTCCAGACAAAAATCACGGAAGACAATAGGCTCGTTATTCTGGATAAAAAAAGACTCGCCTGCAGCGGTGCGGGATGACAACAGATTCTCCATGGGCATCTGCGGCATTGTCGACATGGGTGATATCCCACAGATTGAAGCCATTTCCGATCAAAAAAGGGGTCTCATATTTGGCGATGCATGCGTGAATAGCTGGTACTAGCTGGTAGTCTCCTGGTCCGCAAAGCACCGATGGCCGGAGGGCACATGTCACTATTTTGCTGCTCGCGGCCTTTAGAACGAGTGCTTCTGCAGCAGCCTAGGTAACATACCAGAGCGTGTCAGTAACTTATTTGATACCGATGCCGATAATTCTGCTGATGGGGATCGGTAGTTCCAACCTTGGACTCTCCATAAATGGTTGACCTAAATGCCGAAGGCCATTCTTCATTGATGTTAGGATGAGCGGTACGCGCATCGTCGATCACCACGCAGCAACTGCTCGTATATATGAAGATCTCAACCCCACTAGGCTCGGACACGTCCAGCATATTCCGTGTGCCTTCAAAGTTGATCTTCCATACCTCCTGTTCAAGTCGGCGGCCGAACCGATCGGCCAGATCTGGGACGATTCCAGCAGTGTGTCCAAGGACATCTGGCTTCAAAGCCTCGAATAATTTGCTCAATGTTTTAGCTGAAGTAATATCCACCTGCATGCACGTAGTCCTCTCTGGTAGGACGTGCTCGGACCGCGGGGGACTTTGGTCGATGACGACGATGATAAAATTTGGGTGTTTTTCTGCAAGAGCTCGCACTATGGCCGAGCCTACAAAGCCTGTGCCGCCAGATATAAGGACTTTCTTCGCTATATCGGTCATTGTGTAGGCTGATCGAGTGTGAGCACATGGAGGCTTTGATATGGGGAAACTCGGACTGGATAGACACAATTGTGCGACATCACAACTACATACGACACAAAACTTACCGCAGCACTTCGGAAGCACCTCAAGTGATATTGGAAATGATACCAGAGAGAGGCCACTCAAACGGTCAGACCTTTTTCTTTAATTCATTCGGATTTGAAGTTGGCTTTTATTCTTGATGCCTAAGCCACAGCCTAGTTCAATATCAACGACGAGTCTCATGGCTGTTCTTGATGAGCATCATCCTCCTTCTCGTATCCTTCTCCATCTTTCTCTTCATATTCCTCTCCATATTCCTCTCCATATTCCTCTCCACCCTCTTCTTCCTTATCCCCACAGTGAGCAGGATTGAATAGATCCAGCACATCTTGTAATCCAGGATGGATGGAATGATCCTTGGCTAGCTCTTCCAATTCTCTTAACTTCGGCCACAATGCTTCTGGACTCGACTCATCCTCTCTGATTGCTCGCACTTCATCCTCCGTCATAGAATCGACGATGTCCCACATCCCATCTACAAGAGCAGTATCATATTGGAACCGCTTTTGCACCTCATGACCCAATGTATCGTTGGAAGAAAGCGCAATCGTCTTGCCGATTTTGCGTAGGACAGAGATCCCGTTGAAGCGTGTCCGAGGGTTTGTGAGCGGACCACACTGTTTCGTGATCAATTTGATGGTATCAACGACATCCTGGGCTACCTCGAATGAGATACCGTGCTGCGCTCCACCGCGCATGAAACGATATGTGATATTAATCGATTTCCAGATTGAACCCGAATAATGGTCAAAGTTGATGACGCGAGTTTGCTCTCTCTCCCGAATGACGCGAATGGCATCGTCCACCATGCTCATCACATCGGGGTGGATTTGCGCTGCTCGGGTGAGTATGTCGGTGACAGTCTGTGAATCGAGATGTTGGATGCGCCGGGAAATTTCATCTGGTGGCGGCGCTGTCGTAGTGGTGTGGACATCGCCGATGGTATTGGCTCTCGCACGTTTGACGCTTTGAGGCTCAGCCATGGTTGGTATTGTATGCCCAACGATCACTGGATGGGTCAAGGGGACGGAGACTTCACGAGAGACGAAGATGATCTTATAGGTTAGATGAGGTGATCTAAGAAGGAAGTTAGAGAGCGTAAATGATGACCCAAGAGACAGAGGGATCAAACAGGAAGATACGGAGTGGCTACGGGGGTGGACCATGGAGGTATCTGATGAAAACATGTTTTCGATGTTTCTTAGCCACATAGATTATAATTTTGAATTACGCCGTCAAGGACACAGGCCACATAAGCGGCCGACTATTTTAACTTACCCCTTATGATCTGGCCATGGCCATTCGCAATACTATCGCCTACGCCATATCCCCCAACACTTGGGAGACTGGAAATAAGATATCAGTATAACTATAAAACCAGCCTACCAAGGGTTACTACTACCTTGTAGTAAGCACATCTATGGAAGGGAAGTACGGACATATTTCAAGTCATAATCTATACACTGTGTCACATTGAGGACAGCTGCAAAATCACTAGCAGAGCACACAGAATGCGAGATACGCAGACATCTAATATACAGATCCTTGACCCAGGTATTATCCCAACAGTCACAAAAAGACTAATCTCGAAAAGAGAAAGCGCTGCGACTAACCAACAAACTCCAAAATAAATGCAAGAAGAGAAACAAATCTCCCCGGTGGGTGGCTCCCCCAAAATCAGGGATAAGCCACTAGGACAATCGCAGACTTATAGCACACGGCATAGAACCAGCCCACCGAGCTTTTTCTCGACACACTCGCGGGCTTCCAGAATCCCTCGGTCTGTAGAGAGGTACAGACTCTCACCCGGCGAGCGAAGTCCGGCCACAAACCCGGATTCCTCACCGCGTACAACTCGGCGCAGTCCCTCCACATCAATGTTGACCCGTCGGGTGGGCTTGCTGACCATCTTGATTTTGCCCAGGACCGACTCGTTCTGCCAGTACTTCAGGCCCAGCCACAGCCGCCTTGATGCCACATTATCGCGCGTTATGGGCTCAATACCTTCGACTTCATCGTTGGCTGCAGGGTAACCGAGGATGCCATGGGCTGGAGGAGGAGTCGGGCCCCCGCGGACCACGGAGGAGAGGTAGCCAGAGTTTTGGAGGGCGAGGGAGAGCTTCAGGTGGAGGTTGCTGTTAGGGATAGAGGTGAGAGCGAGGCGGGCCTTGGTGGCATTGTTCAAGTGGGAGCAGACGGCGGAAAGGTTGACGAGAGACATGTTGATTTCGCGATGGTAGCAATTAAGCTCTACCGGCGGCCGTTCGGAGAAGAAAAAGAGTGGTGGAATTGATCACGGAAGAGGAAGGATGACGGGGGATCCCAGATATACGAAAGGGAATACCGCGAGAGACCACAGTGGACTGCAATTGTCTGGGGAAGCAAAGATGCGGCAAGAGGTGTTGTAGTGCCTGAAGATGCGACAAGGATGGAAATTTTCGGATAAACTATACTCCCGGATCGCAATCTGGCCCAGGTACCTGGTACTTTATCGCCCATAGCGGATATGTGTGATGACCAGGTACTAGTACCGTCCTATCACATCACATCCATACATCTTCTAAGCGCCCAGCTTGCATGGCGGTTGATGCTGGCGTTTCACAGGTTGAATACCCCTCAGTCCAAGGTATAAATAATAAACGTAGGTTCCTCTTTTTCTTTTTCCTCTACTTGCTGCCATTTGTATACTTGCATTCCGTACTTCGAATTGTCAGGCAATAATGCCACCATCAGCGGGTGAAGAGCGTCTTGTGACTGTGTGAGTTGAACTGACTTCCCCGCAGGTCGATTCGAAGCAGTTCTCAGATTGTGTCTAATAGCTAGAATAGTTTTGCAGATATCCACTACTACTTCACAGAGCCAACCCGAAGACCTTTACCATATCATCATCGCTTTGATAAAGGCTCCTATGTTTATATTTACCATGACGCCTTTCAGAACAAGGCTCGGATGGAAATCGCCAATAACCCTGGATCTCCAGAGCAGGATGCATTCTGTGGAGGCTTAAGCAGTGTTCATATACGACACTCTGCTCAATTCCCGACACTTTGTACATTAACAGTTGATGCGCACACGGCCTCGCCCCAACAGCAATATGCAAATGATACCCCCCAACATGAGTGGCGTCTGCCTAGCGGAGACCCACGAGATGACCCCAAGGGATTACGCGATTTTGCTCGTCTACACACATTGGATATCTACTTCTGGACTCAAGAAGATGCAACCGACTTTCTGGATACCGCCGTCCGGCTTCTATCCAATGGCCAGGTTGAGACAGACCGAGAGCCAGCTCCGCAACCACAGGATACCATGAGCTCTGTAGTCCAGCAACTCGAGACTGTTGCTGTCTCCGACCCGGCATACATGAATGGTCAAACACGCAACTCACGATCAGAGCCCACAAGCACAGCGGCACCAATGCAACAGGCGCCCCTACCAACCAGCAGCTTCCCCCCACCCCCTCCAAGCGGACCTCCAGCCGACCAACGGTTAAGTGCTGGTTCGACTCCCCGCCGAGGAAAAGAAAGACCCAGCTAGCTTCGCTCCGCTCCCATACAATCCAGCCGCCCCAGCCGCCCCGGAGCCAATCCAATACCGCGAGAAGACCCCGCCGCCAGTGGACGGGATGAACGGCACCGGCCTCGCAGCCGCAGTGGCAGCAGACAGCGGCATTCCATATACACCTCCGAACCAAATGATGGGGGGCGCACCAGGCGTGGGCGCGTTTGCATCCCCGCCCCCCTCAACCCCAGGATTGCAATACGCAGGCCCTCCAGTCGCAGCGCCGCAAACATTTGCCTCCCCTCCGCCCAGTGTAGGATTAAATCATTCAAACACTTTCCCCACTGCCAGATCCTCTCTCAACAGCCCTGGAGTGCCTGTCCCTTCATATCCGCAGTCGTTTGTCAGCGGGCAGGGAGCTCAACAGTACAGCGCAAGCCGGCAAGGCTCAATGTCCTTCGCTCCACCGCCGCAGGATCCGAATGCCCATCTATATGACCAGCAGGTCTATGGGGCTGCCCAGGCCCAGGCCCAGTCGCCGCCCCAGTATCAGCCCGGAGCGGCGGTGCCGGTAGGCGGGTTCTCGAACTATTCCTATGACCAGACTCAGGTGCAGCAGCAGCAGCAGCAGCAGCAGCAGCAGCAGCAGCAGCAGCAACAACAACCCCAACAGCAACACCAGCGTGCTGGCTCTGAATATAATATCCATAGCCAGTTGTACAGACCCACTGAAGTGGAGGCTAGCTCTCACCATCAGAAATATGCACAGAAAGCCATGAAGAATCCTGGACAGCGGCCTAGGAAATTGGAGGATAGAGCAGAGCGGTTGGAAGGTGGTATGAATAGGTTCCTGAAGAAGCTTGAGAGGAAACTTTGAGGCTCTTTTTTGGGTGGGAGGTTAAGGTTCTGCATTGTTTCTTGTTAGAGATCTCCGCTGGTCATGATCACCCTTAGTGCTTGCTGTTACTAGACCGGCTGCTGCGTAGTCCTACGAGAACGCAAATCAGTATAAGAATGTTGTTTAGCTTCTCAATTTGATGAGAAAATGAAGTGCTTGCTAGACACAAACCGAGAAACTACTAGTAGTATAAAAGCTTCGAGTCCCGCTATATTGATGAATCAAGATGCTAAATTGGATAATGCCCCTAAGCGCTAAGAATAATATGCTCACGAAATTGGTACAGAGTATGCAAGAGATAAACAAAAATAATCAGACAACCCAAAACACTGACATATTTAAAAATGCTAGCATAGAGTAAGAAAGAGACACGGAAGAATAGATGGTGAAAAAGTCGGGGACAAGCCTCGATGTGTAGAAGAGGCTCACCTTTGTGAGATAGAAGAAAATGGTGAAGAGTATGACCAGAGAAGATTAAAAGGTTGTTCCAAAATTTACCAGAAGCGGAGATGGGCCAGCGAAATCCATTTCAGATAGACATGGTGGAGTTCTGACATAGAGCGCCTAGTGCAATGACAGAGTAGCAATATCGATGGCGACGTTGCTCGACTCATCCTCAGTTGTGGGCTGGGCATCAGGGGCAGGCTCAGCGGACTTGGCCTCTGTGGGATTCTCCTCTGCGACCTCCGCCAAAGTCTCAGGGACAATAGCCTCATTTACTGGTACATCATCTTCCTTTTCAGGCTCGGCATGAACCTCTGTTGATTCCGGAGTCTCAAGCACCTCTGGTTCGGACATCGAGGTTTCTTGGTCCTCACTGACCTTCACTTGATCGTCAGCCGTTGGGATTGCCACGGGCTCTGCGGCGATCTCCTCGGTTGCAGTGGTGGTCTTAGAAGCCCCCTCCTCAGCATCCCCAGCGATGGGTTCAATAAGGGTCTCAGCAGGAGCGTCCACCTCTGCCTCAGCTGGGGCCTTGGCTTCGTTGGAATCAATAGGCTCAGCCGGAACCTCTGCAGCAGCTTCGATTGGGACGGGATCAGAGGAAATCTCAGCCACTGTCTCCTCGATGACCGGTTCAGGCACTTCAATCGACTTCTCGGTTGGCTCAGTAGATACAATGGCAGCTTCCGGGGTAGACTCCTCAACCTGAGCAGGGGAAGCGGTCTCCTCGACCGGCTTGGAAACAGCCTCGGGCTGTCCCACAGCCGCAACCGGGGCGGGTTCCACTGTTGTAGGCTCCTTTAGGCTGGCTATGATAGGCTCCACGATGTTCTCCTTCTCACTTTCTTGTTTCTTTTGGGAAGGCTTAGCTCCATCTTTCTGCGGCGCAGGTTCCTTGTTCAGAGCCTGGGATTTCTGACTCTGAGGCCGAAGGGCGGTGGTCTTAGGCTTCGCGTGGGGGACCCCACGGTCTGGCACCCTCCCAATTGATGGCCGGGGGGCCTTGGAAACAGAGGTTGTCCTGGTGACAGGCTTTGCATCAGACTTTTCCTGGGGGTGGGACTTGTTCGCAGAGCTGGCAGTAGGCCGCATCATTCTCGCGAGGAAACCTTCATTGACAGGCTTAGTGCTTGCATCATGAGCTGCTTGAGCGGGTAGCGAAGGGCGAGAGGCTTCTCTGCGAACGCTGGCACTAGGAGTAGTGGCACGCGACTGACTTCTAGTTGCGCTTTTGAGGGTTGAGGGTTTCCTTGTAAGGGTTGATGCAGTAGTGCGAGTGCTCGGAGCCCCTGTGCTTCCTGGCCTAGCACCAGATGCTTGGGTCGACGTGTGCATCGAGCCAGGTACACGGGCAGGTTTCGGTGGGGATTTCATTCCTGGCTTGCTGGACACACCTGCGGTAGGTGGCTTTGAAGTATCTTGTGTCAGTGCTGAGCCACGGGTTGGCCGTGCTGTTGCCTTAGGATTCAATGAGACACGACTCGGTTTGTGGGCCAGAGAGTTGGCACGCTCTTTAGCCACTTCGCGAGCTGTGGGCTTGGAGGTTGTCTTGTGAGCAGCGGGCTTCGCACCAGTTGAAGCCGCAGTAGTTGACACAGACTTGCTCGCTGCACTGCGGGCAGACCCAACGGAAGAAGGCTTCTTCTTGATCGCTCCTGATGAATTTGACTTTTGCGAGGGAGTGTCGGAGCTTGTCAACTTGGAATCCGTGGCGATGGGCTCCTCGGTCTGCTTTGGTGGGGTGTTTCGCAACTGAGATTCAGTCTCAGTGTGGGTTGCAGGTTCCTCCTTGGCAGTTTGAGTCAGTTCAGACTTAGTTTCAATGGCTTCCTCCGGTCGACCCTCAGCCATTATCTGTCCCATAGTCGCGTTTTGTGTATGGTCTAGGCGACTGAGCGGGGTGGGAGAGATCATAGTCTGCCGGCCAGACTCCGCATCCCCCGAATTGATTTTCGGCCCAAATATCCCAGGACTGTCGCTGCGCCCACTTGTTTTCCTCAACGGCGAAGCAGGATTGGACTGTACGATCCCGTCCACAGTGACAAAGCTAGCCCGGACCTTGGACAGTTGCCGAACTGTTCCTGACGAGTCTGACGCAGCTGGGGATCGGCCACGAGGCGGCGGAGAGGCGATGGGGCTTTGGCCTTCAAACTTGGCTAACAAGCTGCGCACTCCAGGATGATGGGGATTGTTATCGGACATTATCGTTCACAGAGGGCACGTCAGTCGATCAAGGGCGGGTATGGAATCGAGGGGAATCGGGAAACGCGTCTGCAGAGCACAGGGGTGCTCCTAAAATCAGGTCGAAATGGGATTGTTGTGTCTAATCGGATACAGGCAGGTCCCACTGCATGCTCCCAGTAGGGTTCGGGTTCAACGCGTCAAAGTTGGATAGAGAATTGGTATGAGACAAGAGGACACAAGGTGTGAAGAAGGGCCGATCCAGAAACTATTACATACATATACGCTAGTTAAGCCTAGCGTATCCAATAGGCCAACGCCTTACGTTGTACTCCTCCGTACAGAACTCCCCATCTCAGGGGCTTTCATTTCTATGTGACAGGTGATTTCATCCTTGAGGGGTTTAATTAATCTTACTGTATGTGTACTGAAACCCCTTGTGAGGTCTGAAACATGGTCTCTGGACACCTTTACAAGTGGAGCTCGAGTAAGGGGCCTTTTATGCCTGAGGCAACCTATAACACAGATCTCTCCTAACTTGAATTTCCCCTATTTTAGGCGCTATTTGTGAAACTTGGAGTAGTTTCAGTACATATATGACCCTAGGTATATACCTGATACCCAAAACATGTATCGCAATGTGGGGTATACCGGCTTTAGAGGAAATTATGTGAATGTGCTAATAATAGCGTAGCCAAGGAATACGAATCTCACAATTAACGTTGGAAAATAGATTGGAACATGTGGCTTTACCATACATCACATGCACATCACATTGTTAGTTCAAAAAGGCCAATTAACTACCTAACTACTCCGCACTCCGCATAGTACTCGTCAATTTTATACAAGTTCATGCAACCTATACCTTTCAGCCAATGAGAGTATCCCGGGACATATCCGATGCACGTGATGATACCAGCTCTTCCTATACGAGGCTTCTCCAACACCATTAGCTTCTTTAAAATAATATGAACATATGATTCATGATGGTTGGTGTGCCTCGGAGCAATGGCTGCTCACTCTGTGTTAAACGCCGGGTCAAGGTGAGTGGATGATCTACATGGAGTCTGGTCAACAAGTCCACCTCATATTGATACCGTCACAGTGTGATCAAGGACTTCCTGGCTGTGTAAAATGCGACAAGTATGGGGAACCATGCCCGGGATATGACCGGGGATTTAAATTTGTTACTGGAAAGCCATATCGGGATCGGCGTCAACCTAATCCCAGGAGTGATAAAAAGGATGGAACACGCCCTAGGAGTACGACCTCGAATTCTGAAATTGATCTTGATCCAATCTACCAGTCTCTGGTCCAGAGAGAGAAGCCGTCTTCTCTTATTTCTGTCGATTTGAATGTTGTGCAACATCTTTGTGTTCTCATTGATGATTTCTCTCAGCCATACACCCCTAGTCCAACACATGTTGTGGTCAGATGGTTTGGGTTTCTTCCCTCCATTTATGGCCAAAATCGGGTATTGGATGCCACTATAAGGTCTTTCACGGCACATCATTTTGGGCGCACTACTCAGAATACCCAGATGGTGTCATATGCCCGATCGACTTACGGGGAAGCCTTGCGTGGGCTCCGCAAATCGCTCGAAACACCTGCAGAAAGTCTCTCGTCTCATATATTTTGTGCGGTAGTACTGCTATGCATGTATGAGGTAAATATTGTTCACTTTTGGAGTTTTACATTTGTCAGCGACGTGACTGACCACATATAGCTTTTCACAGATACCGAGAACCCAGAGTCGTGGATGAAGCATGCCAAAGGGCTCAGCCAGCTGGTACGGATTCGAGGGCCAGATAGATACAATACTGAGCTTGATGTTATGTTACTAAAAGCTGCGCGAGGAGTGATTGTAAGTTTGAACCATGGAATTTTGCCTAATCTCCTTGAGAAGCATGATAAAATCAGTTACAACTTGGAATCAACGCTCACATTCGAATAGGTGATGCACTCGATGTTCTCCGGCGAGGAGTGCTTTTTAGCCTCCGATGAGTGGCATGATAAGATGCGACAGCAATACACATCAAACTTGCCCCCAGAAGTGCACAACAGCATCGAACTATTTTTTGCATATTTCACATATTCTCCGAGTCTTGTGCATAAGCTCTATAGCTTGAGACATGCCGACGCCACCAATTGTGAAACCATACAAACAATTTCAGAGGTCCTGTCCGAAGCCCTCGAGATGCAGATGAAACTGGCTATATGGTATGAGCAATTTTCTCAAATCGTACCACCGCCAACCGAAACTATCTCCTCAACTGGGGATAAACTATATCCTATAATCCTCGCATATACAGATGTAAGCTATGCAACGATCTACTGCGGTTACTATTCCTACATGGCAATCATTCATGAAATTTTCAAAACTTGTGGCTACCCCGGTGAGCATGAAGCCATGGTTGCCTATTTCAGAGATCAAATTTGCAAGTCAGTCGAATACAACAGTGTGGGAGTAATGGGCCCATACCGAATGGGGTTTCCTCTCCGCGTGGCATTCGAAGTTGCAGATCCAGTGACAAGTTCTTGGATCTTGAACCGGCTTGCACAATTTTCAAATATCTACGCAGCCGCCCAGCCAGAGAATTATCGTACTGTCTTGTGATTTAAAAATAAGTGCATTGAACTATTATGTGTCCAAGTCAAGTCTCCAAGCAGTACCTCGCTGTGCAATTTCTCACCGATCTCAGAAATGTCCAAAGTGAACTAGCTCAATTCTGCGTTGATTCCAAGTCATCATATGCGATGCGCTTAGAAATGATCGACAGCGAAATCGGTTCAGCTACAGCACGTGCTACCAAAAGCAAGACAACAATGATGATCTCCATCAGAAGCCCCATTCCAACCAAGATACCGATATCACCAGTGGCTGGGTTGAACTTGGGTGGTCCATACATCAACAATAGGAAATAAATGATCCGAGTCAACAAAAAGGGAAGAGTCAACAATGTCAAAAGTACGGAGTGGTGACCCAGCTCAGAAAGAATCGACCGCGATTTTACCGCCAGCCAGCCCACAAGACCGCAAACATAGGCGAATGTGATAACAAGAACAATGGACCCAGCTTCTCCCAATGCGCGCATGTGAATACATCCACCCACTACTGCTAGCATGATGGCGATGAAAATCGGGAAACGAAAGAAATGCAGAGCAAACCGGGTCCGCTGGGTCCATTTCGAATTCCCAGGACCAGTTTCTCCGGATTGTCCACTATTTAGAGAAACATCATCAGTATGACTCTCATAATCCAAGGATCTTCAACATACCACCGCAATAAGACCAAGCTTACTTCGAACAAGAGGGGCGAAAGGCCTACGCTTTGCAAAACGGATTCGGCAATGAGCATTGGCTTCCCCGGGTATGAGCTGGCAAGTACCAGAGCCGAGCCCGCTATGCGAACTATGAAAGGGTTTAATAGCCATATCTTGAACATTGTCGGAATGTCTTCCACTTACTCTGTGACAGAAGACCGACCATACTCCACCAAGAATAGAACACGCATCGTCCGATACTCTTGTTCTTGTTGTGGTGCCAGTATCGCCACTCTTGCATGCACCTTGTGCTAAACTGGGCAATGTGGATGAGGGAATATATGAAAATCTCTGCGATGGCAATATTCCGCTTCCCAGTTGGGATTGGCGAATCCAACGCACGGGACAGAAGATTGAATGCCATAAGGAGCCTGGATTTGAAAAAAGAATGACAATAAGTCTTGGGTGATGAAGTACGGAGTCGAATACAACCATGAAAAATGGAGTGCAATTTGGACTGCTTTAAATATCTACTCTGATAATTAGGTTCAATCTTTGTCGAAGACTTTGTATACTCGATGCCAGTGGATCTACATCGCGGTAAGTGACCCATCTGGGTTTAGCGTTGATTACATTTGGGGTGGATGGCTCCTCAAAAGACTCGAATGGCTGCAAAGATTGAGCGGCACGATGAAAATTGACATTTTAAAGGCGAAACCATAAAATCAGGCGCTAGGGAACTGCGAAATGTTGTCCATATTTAACTTCGCGAGAAGTGACCCGTTTGGGTAGTCCGAGCATGCATACATACCCATGCGCAACCTTGGAAGAGTTTCCCGGCTAGCTGCACCATTTCCCATTTTCTCTTCCAGGGGATAGTCAAGCAGACATGTGTGGCGTTTTGATATTGTTCTTCATCTGTGTTCCATATTATCTGAGCTAGAAAGGTGATGCATACAACAGCGTGCTCCGTACAGTGGGTCGCCGCATCTCCGGACCCCGGAGTTAGTACCGGGGCAATAATAATCCGATGCCGCATAGAAAACCAAAAGCTCCGATGACGGCGAATGTCGATTTTAGGAAAGCAACTCTTCAAAAAAGTCTATCAAAATGGCTGCTGCCCGGACACTTCGCATTGGTACAACTGCCCTTGTTTTGCGATCTCGTGGCTAGGCAATTGACTGACATGGCCGGAATATTACAGGTCTCATCCCCGGAGACGGTATTGGACGGGAGGTCATCCCGGTGGGTAGCTCTCTCAAGATTTGATATATGAGTCAATTCACTGACTGAATATTGTTTGATAAAATATAGGCCGGCCGTCGGATCCTAGAGTCCCTCCCCGCGTCCCTGAACCTCAAGTTCAGCTTCGTCGACCTTGAGGCCGGCTACGAGACCTTCCAGAAGACTGGAACCGCTCTGCCTGACAAGACCGTCGATATCCTTAAGAAGGAGTGTGATGGTGCTCTCTTCGGCGCTGTCAGGTAAGCCACAATACACTTCTTTCAGCACGCGCGATTCCGGCTGACAATTGCTACCAACCCAAAGCTCCCCCAGCACCAAGGTCGCCGGTTACTCGTCACCCATTGTCGCTCTCCGCAAGAAGCTTGACCTGTACGCCAACGTCCGCCCTGTTAAGACCACTGCCGGCAACAGCAATGGCAAGCCCATCGACCTGGTCATCGTCCGCGAGAACACAGAGGACCTGTACGTGAAGGAAGAACGCACCATCGATACCCCCAACGGTAAGGTCGCCGAGGCCATCAAGCGTATCTCCGAGCATGCCTCGTTCCGTATCTCCAAGATCGCTGGTGAGATTGCGCTCAGCCGCCAGAACATCCGTGACGCTGCCGGCACCTCTACCCGTAACCAGCCCATGGTCACCATCACCCACAAGTCGAACGTGCTCTCGCAGACTGACGGTCTCTTCCGTGAGACCGCGCGCCGCGCCCTCGCCGCCGAGAAGTTCTCCTCCGTTTTCGTCGAGGAGCAGATCGTCGACTCCATGGTCTACAAGCTCTTCCGCCAGCCCGAGTTCTACGATGTCATTGTCGCCCCTAACCTCTACGGTGACATCCTCTCTGACGGTGCTGCTGCCCTTGTTGGCAGCTTGGGTCTCGTCCCCAGTGCCAACGTTGGTGATGGTTTCGCTATCGGTGAGCCCTGCCACGGCAGTGCCCCTGACATCGAGGGCATGGGTATCTCCAACCCCATTGCTACTATCCGCAGTGTTGCTCTGATGCTCGAGTTCCTGGGCGAGATGAACGCAGCTGCCAAGATCTACGCTGCTGTTGATGGTAACCTGGATGCCGCTCAGTTCCTTACCCCCGATATGGGTGGAAAGGCTACCACTCAGCAGGTGTTGGAGGATGTCCTGAAGAGACTGTAAAAGTACACTTGTATATAAGTTAAAGTTTGCAAATGACACTTAGAGATGAATTTACTGTTTTTGCATTGACAACCATTTAATTCTAAAAAACACATAGGCCTTGGTGGTGGTCAAACCCCATATCCATCTCAATCTGTACAGGGATGCCTTAGAGCGACAGCATACTCTGTTAAACCAAGAAATATATCACTCAACATCGCCAGACGATGGCTCTGCCTCCCAGTCAAACTTCCCTAGATTCTCGTCACGTTGCCCGCTCTTGCTGTTGTCTTCCTTGCCATCCGTTTCGCCTAGGACCACCGAGAATACTACAGCAAGATACACCCTTCCGGTTGTAATATCCTTGAGTGTATATCGCAGCTGATGGTTCTTCTCATCCACATACTTCATGATAGGTAGAGTGAATCCAGGAAGACGAACAGAGAAATCTATTATGACCAGTGAGCCGACAATCGCAATCAAACGACCAAATCCGAGTTTCACTCACCATTGAATGCCAAATAAGGATTTCCAAAATCAACAGCATACATCCTCCCAGGCTCAAAGGTAAACTCCTTTCTATTAGCCTCATCCTGGAAATGCTTTCTACGCCCCTCGACTGTATCGGGGATATTAAATTGCCGACGCAAACTGGCAGCATCGTCGCTATAAGAACCTTCTTCAATGATCTCATCATGGAGCATTGGCACGTCGTCTGTTTTCCACATTTTATCGCCAATGCGAAACTGGTCCCATGATGCCAATGCCGGGCTGTACAGATACGGCTCATCAGCGTAGACATCGCCGTCTAGGCTAGGGTCAAGGGTCCATTTGACTATCCGTAGCGCTGCATTGAATCCTGGAGGCAGGATGTCGCGGATTGGATGATCGAAGTCATTGCCAAAAAAGAGGTTGTTGCCGTTCACCGGCTCTTTGAAAATTATTGAGAAGCATATGGAATATAAATCTTTTTCATGCAGAGGGTGGTCGAAATATGGGCTTGTGGATGGTGAACTTTCGGGATAGCCTATTTGACGGATGAGCTTCGTTCTTTGGCTGGATAGATGAGAGCAGGGATATTACCTGTGTAATCTTTGATTCGTACGCAGAGACTCACAATAGCGTGCTCGTTCTCGATTCGGATTGTCTGGCCATTTACAGGTACCACTTGGTGGTGAGTTTTGGGGTCGTAGTCTGCGCCTGCCGTTACTTTCAAGCGATGCTTGTTTGCGTTGGTGTCCTGATTCATCATGTTGGGGGTGGTGAGACTTCGTGAAAAATATTGATACTGTTTAATAAGCTGTTGCTAGAAGTTTATTTGACGCCAACGAATCTTATTTTATAGGCTTGACGCCCAACAACGTCATCGTTGTTGACCTCGGGATGACAATCAAGTATTGATAAGAGTGACAATTCAGTATGGGAGTTCCCACCATAGCAATACTCAAATAACAACAGATAACTTCTTTACTACATATATATTGAAGAGCTCTGGAGACTGTATCAGAATTATCAGGGTTGTGATCTCCCAATTGTTCCAAGGGGTTCAAGTGCGTTGATCTGGGTACTAGATGATATGCATCTTCTACAAATGAGAATTGTTTAAAACTTGCCAACACAGCGCTGTACACAAATGAGAGCTATCATCACAATTCTATTTGTTGATCTAAGTAGAGTGCAAGTAGATGCAAAGACTCAGCCTCAGCCCCAAATACAAGTTGGGAATGACATCAGCCCGGAATTCAGCCTCAAGCTCAAATTTGATTGGCTGGAGCGGAACGTGGCACCAAAAGAGGTTAGTGCGATAAGGACCATAGCCATAAAATGGGTGGGGATGCCAAGACTTGGGGAAATAATATGTTTTCGGTTCTTGAGCTATATAAGGAGACTAAATCTCCCTTCCAAAGAACTAGCTGATTCACCAAAGACAGGAGTAATACAAGACTGAACTCATTCAGCTACTAAACAAACACAATGACTTCTACCGATATCCCTCTCAGCATCCAAACTCCTATTTCAAGACATCCATTCTTGACAGTCGACTCAAACAAAATAGCTTCATCCGATACTCCCTACACCCAAACTCCCTCCAAGAGTCCTGTTTTCAAAGTCGACTTCACATGGAAGAAATGGCAGGCCCTAGTCTCCGACGCCAACAATCCCGGATCAGACCCCTTATACACTATCCATTTCCCATTCAGTTTCGGAACCAGCATGGTTTTCAAGAAAGCCCCCAACGAAGAAGTCATCGGGACTGGAAAGCTGAACTTGGTCTCTATCAATGCCGAGTACGAACTACATGGACAGAAGGCCCACCTTTTAGCCCAAAAACGCTTTCGGATTGTCTACACCCACCGCTCACTCAATTTCTCAGACACCGAATCCCCAGTCACAATGACATGGACTAGTGATGCAGGGTTCACAAACTGGGACTTTGTCTGTGTCGATGAGCAACAGATGCCCGTGGCAAAATTCACTGCCAATTGCTGGGGTATCACCAAAATTGGCAAAATCGAGTTCAGTGGCCCCAAGGCAGACGACAGAGCTATGCAAGAGGAGATTATGGTCACGGGAATTACCTTGTTCTATTGCATGATACTTCGTTGTAACAACGTTTTCAATCTCTTTGGGGCTATTTTTGCTCGACCGGGGCGAAAACAGCACATTGAGTGAGCCTCAGCCTCAAGCTATGACTAGCCATTAGGGTTCGGGATTTCTTTGGCCCGATCTTGGTTGTTTGCGAGTTTATTTTTTTTTGTTATGCGGATAGAGAGAGATACCATTTGACTTCTAATGTTTATGATACACAATTGTTGAGAATATTACTCCATAATACATGTTTGAATTACACACAAGTCTTGTTCATCTTTCCCCTTCAAAATTTACAGTTGCATTCCAGTCTATTTGAATGTTTGTCAGACAAGAGATCAAAGATTATGGAAAGGAAACATCCCGACCGAGGGAGCGAGCAACCCAATAGCCGATCGCCTTCCGAACAATATTGTTACTCGCCCAGGTCCGGCTTGGATACACACGATGGGCCAGCATGACCATAAAAGTATCCGACGCCCGGTCAACAACAAGCGTGGTACCAGTAAAGCCCGTGTGGCCACCAGCAAGCATATTGGCCATGGGTCCGGAGAAATATTCCTGGTTGAGCTCGAACCCGATACTGTGCTCATCGCCAGGGAATGCGGTATTGAAATTCGTGAACATCAAATCCACAGTCTTTGGCTTCAGGATCTGCTTGCCCCCATATGTGCCGTTGTTCAAGATCATCTGACAGAAGATTGCCACGTCCCCGGCAGTCGAAAAGAGACCGGCGTGTCCACTTACACCGTTAAGAGACCAGGCATTCTCGTCGTGCACAGTTCCTCGCACTGGCTGGGGACGTTTGGGCTCGGCATCTCCCAGGACTTCGATCTGGTACTCTGTCGGCGCCATGCGTGCATAGTGACGGAACTTAGGGGACTGGTTATTTCCCTTGTTGAAAAAGGTGCTGGTCATGCCGAGATCCCGGGTGTATGAATAGACATACTCCTCAAACGGTGTTTTGGTAACCTTCTCCAGCAAGAAGCGCATATTCATAAAGTTCAGGTCTGAATACGTGTATGTAGATCCGGGAGCATTTTCAAGCTCATGCTCGATGACAGCACGGACACGCTGCTCTATAGTCTTGTAGGGTGCTTCATAAAGTCCGGGCAGCGGGTCTGGAGCGAAGCCACTTGTATGGGTCAACAGCATCTGGACAGTGACGTTGCTCTTCCCGTTGGTCGCGAACTCAGGAAGGTACGATGCAACGGTCTTGTCCAAGCTTAGCTTACCCTCGTCAATGGCGCGCAATGCAGCTACCGCAGTGAACACTTTGGTCAGACTGGCCATATCGTAGATTGTGTCCATTTTGGCCTGGGTCCGTTCTGCGGGTGGGAGCAATGTGCCATTGGAGTCTGCATACAGATTCGTATTTCCGAAAGCGAAGGAGCTCACAATGGTGGACTTGTGACCGATGACAACGGAGCCTCCGGGCTGAATGGGGTGGATCACATTGTATGAAGGTGCTCCATAATTGGCAGGAATAGTGTACTGACTCAAGTTCAGTGGTAGCTGGTCAAGAGGCTCGGCGAGAAGCCCCACTGATTCAGGAGAACCATGCTTGAGGACGCGGTCTGTGGCACTACAAAGCGAGCCGCAGCTTGCAATGAGGCAAATGGCTGACGATTTGAGTCTCATTGTGGAGTGAGAATGGTATGGGCGGGCATGGGAATCTCGGTCCCTGCCTACAAATATATACGAGCTCGCTTCCTGTTATCTGGAGATTGTTTATGTTGTATATATTAAATACGACTCAGCGTAGTAACCGTTTCATTTCATCATTTCTGGATAAGATCAGCTTTGGAGATGGGGTAATGCTCCACATCTAATCCGTTTAATAATCGTTCGTATCTATCTCCGGGTTGTCTCCGACGGAATAATAGACGACCCCCGCAAACATGATTTAGCTGGTACGACATCTGGAGATTGGATGTTGAAGAAAATAAGATACAAAATGTGAAGATATCAGAGCCAAGACAAAGTATATCAGAGCCAAGACGAACTATATGAGAGCCAAGAGAGAGACTAAAATAAATAAACCAAAAAATCTTATACAAAAACTAAGCTAAACCCGACGCGGGAAGCTGGATATAAATATGGGATCCGATACCGCTGCCGACATCCGAAAGGTCATTCTCCAGTTCTTCGGTATCCATATGCCGACGGTCCTTGCCACGACCGACTTCGATATCAATAAATCGGGCGCTAACGGGAGTGATTGGTTCACTCCCAGTGCCAATTGTAGTGCCATCTGACATGAGATCGTCCGATTTCAATTCCCAATTGGCCGCACGAACTTTGGCTCTGCGACGTTCCGAGTTGACAGTCTCCTGCATGTGGGCGAACGAGCGCACTTGATCTGCGGCCCACTTGTCCAGCAGCTCATTTCGAGCTTCGATTTCTAGCTGAAGCTGTTCTTCAAGGCCAGTGTTGAGATTCCGAAGACGCTGCATTTCAGATTTGGCGCCATGCAACGATGTGGTGAGGTCTGAGATGCGAACATTGAGAGTCCCAGTCTCTGCCTCGTGCGTTTGAAGTTCACTGGTGTTTTTCTCAAGGCTCTCGACGGCTCTTTGGTATTCCTTTTCCAAAAGTTCCACCTGGGCCATCAAGTTGCAAGCCCGAATTCGATTGTGCTCGACTGTTTTCTCCAATTCTTGGATGCGGGACTCAGACTGAGAAGCAGTAGCCTCGGCCGAAGAACGTTTTGAGCGTTCATGGGCCACTTGTTCCTTGAGTTTAGATATCTGCCGAGTGTAGTCCTCCTTTGTAGCCGTGTTCTCCTTTTCAAGGTTGTCGATAAGACTTTCGAGACCCTTCACTTCATAATGATATTTGTCGAGGGCTGTATTTAATCTGTCAATCCCAATGGCCTGTTCTTGGCCTTCACGCTCGAGGTCTTGCATTCGCATGCGCGTGTGGAGCATATCGCCCGCAGAAGATGCGATTGCATCCTCGAGAGTGTCAATCTTTTTTGCAGCTGTCTCATATCGGTGTAGTAAAGCATCGAATTGCCCCCGCAGAGCATTTTCTCGACCGAGAGAGCCGTGGTGGTAATGGCGTTCTGTCCCCAGGTCTTTTGCCAGTGACTCAACCCGCCTCACCAGCGCACCTAGGGTTGCCTTGCCATCGTCGAGACTGACGTTCGCGGTTTCACCAGGTAGCGCACGCTCAAGCTCAAGACGAGCTGAGCGGAAGTGGCTCCGCATGTCCAATATGACATCGTCCACGCCGTCCCCGCAGAATCCTAAGCTGGAGCATTCCTGGGTGACCCCTTCAAGAGCCTCAGTAGCATTGGAAGCACGAGACAGAGCATTTTCCAAAATCTTTATGATATTCTCGAAGAAGTCCGACGGTGGAGACGACTGGCTGAAGAGGCTACTGATCGTAGGGTCACTGAACCCTGAGATTCGTGATCGACAAGCATTGAACAAGTTGTTCTTTTCTTGTCTAGCAGCTTCCAGATCCAGGCTCAGGGAATGAATGTCAGATGCCTCTGTGTTCACTGAAGTCTGCGCTTGGGTGGCGCGAATGGGCGTTTGGGGACCGTCGGATAGCATCAAGCTATCAGTGACGGGCGGATTGTGACTTCGAATACCACGGAAATCAGGAGAGCTGGATACAATGACAGCACTGTCATTGAACATGAAGGTCTCTCCATCACTATTCGAAAATGGAGCGGCGTCATCCCGAGTGTGATTAGAGACCACTGAATCTTCCTCGCAAGATCTGGGTGTGTTGGGTGTCATCCAATAGGACTCAGCTATCGAACCTTGGTTCTCAAAGTCCATTACACCTCGTTTCATGGCCCTGAGCTCATCCTTCAGGGAATCCCGCTCCTGAAGCAAAGCTCGCATGGTCTTTTCCATATTGCGTGCCTCACGCTTTTCGCGTTCAATGTGATTGATTTCATCACTCAACCCGATTCGCTTAATTCTTCTCTGGGTCCGTGTATCCAAGATTTGACGCAGCGGAGTAAATTGAATCCTTTTCTCGGTGCATGTTTCATCAATCGGCTCCTCTTTGTCATATGACCGCTGGAAGCTTGGTGTTGGGGCAGACCTGCGTCGGGCTTTGCGGCTAGGGGTGTGATCACCAGATCCTGTCTGGAACGATGTTCGACGCATCGCTGGAGTCAAGCCAGTCGACCCAATATCTGCATCATCTAATAATCGAGGACCTGGATCGGAAAACCGAACTCTCTTCCTTGATCTCTTGGGTGTAACGGAGACTATTTTTTGCTGTTGGCTGAGGCCGGCATCTTCTGGCACCGCTGCCAAGCTGTGTCTAGTCCTGCATGAGATTGGAGACTGGGTTGGGTTTGAAAGAGAGCTCTTCCGTTTCCTTCCTGACCGAGTGAGGTCCATGTTGGAAAGGGGAGTATATTGAAACCACCAAAGCCAAAACTAAGTAATGGTTAACAAAATAAAAGTGTAGGGATAGGCTATTAAAGAATTCTATAGATCACAAGTTAGGACGTAAACAAACAAAGTGGGGCTCTATAGGCAGCAGGCACCCAGACGCGTGCCTGGATTCATACTTCCTATTCCGGTAAGGGTAAACAAGATGCTTCTTTAGGCGATCAGGTGATATATACTGCACGTGATATTTACATATTCAACACACGGGCCGTGATGTCTATACTCGAGGAATATCGAAAATAATAGGTGTCAATTTAATCTGATCATCTCTTCATAGGCTGATACTTAGTTACCCAGATATTGGGGAGTGTATATGCATTGTCCGCGGGTATAGATCAGAGCTACTACGCACCACTGCAGTACCTTATCGATAGCTTCCAGGTTTCGCTCCAAATACAAAACTGGGAAGCTGTGCAGGTTTCTTTAACCCAAACCCTGCAATATTGGCAATATTAGGCACACTGGACCTCTTCCCTGTTGGGCCCACCTTCCCTTCTCTCCGTGTGACCTTCATGCATTTCCCCCCTCCTAGGCCTCCCAGTGATGTCATTCACGATACTCTGAAGAGGCTCAACCATCTCACTTGTCTCTTGCAAATCTCGATGCATCAAAAGAAAGATGGCAATCAGCACACTTCCTATCCGAGTATGTCTGATTATTATTGCTCTTGATAAACAATAACATGGACAGGGCCCTGTACTTACATTTTGGCGCAGCAACAAAGTAACGATGGTCACTACGACCAGCCAGTTAATGATGTGCAGCTGCCTCCATCCGCAGGTCAATTGTCATTCCTTGACAAGTTACCCGCTGAGATCATTCAAGATATTGCATCTTATCTCTCGGCTCCAGATCTTGCCTGCCTTGGTGCCACTTGCCGGACCCTCGTCGATCATGCATCGAATGACTTTCTATGGGCTAGGCTGGTGAACGAGAGACTGCCTGCTCCTATCCAGAACCCAGGCCTCTTTGGGACATTTCATCGTCTTTATCTTGCATATCACCCCTCTTGGTTCATTCCTCAGCACAAGATCTGGTTCGCGGACATTGAACAAACGGGGATGCTGATAATATCCCGATTTGATAATCGCCGGGGTGTGATTGAAGCACACCAAGTTGTTGCAGAACGTGGTACTGCCGGATTCCAAATATGGGCGTCAAACCCAGATGTTATCATCCAGTCTTTTGAACCCCGTGTCCATCTGGCGTTGGATAATCCTGTCTTGTCTCTCAGAGACCCTAATCCATCCTCCCGAACAGCCCCAATCCAATCCCTTCACTATATGCCAGAGGAACGACGCATGATAATGACTTCGGATGCCCGACATATTTACACGTCGCTGTCGTTTTGCTCTGAATTTAGCCCCCGAGGACCTTGTTTCAAACCCAATGCGATTTGGCCACCACGAACCATCCCGAGCAAGGCACGCACAGTTCGCGATTTGAGAAATTCACCTCCGCCAATAGTGAAACATCCGTCGGAATTATCAGAATCATTTTTCCGTGTCAGAAAGTGGGGGAACCCGTGGGCGAACCCAGAGTTTCAATTTTTGCCGGTGCCGAAGAAAGCGAGTCTAACCTACTCAACTCTTGATCCCGTTCTTTATACACCCACTGCAGAGAAACCGTACCAGGGGATCTGGGTTGGAGACTATGAAGCCCATGGGTGTGAATTCCTGCTTGTTCTCCAGAAAGAAATAACGGAACTAGCACATGATGAAAAAGACGCGAATGTAATTGACGCCCAGGACGAAGTCGAACACGGCACCCAGGAGGATACTGTACAGCGAGGTCTGTTGCAAGCTGTCAAGCTGACAGGTGACTCCAATGTTCCTCGTGGCGAGTTCTCATTTATTGCCGAAGACATTGGCTCCAGAGGCTTGATTAGTGTCGCGGTGGATGAGCCTTTTGTTGGCGCCCGAATTGTGCGTTGTCGCAGCCATGTAGCTGGACTTGGGTTCCTTGACGGTAAACAACCGCGCTAAATAAACTAACGCAATCTTTTCTAACATGTTATTAGACACCTACATTGACTCCGAACTGATCCTTATTTCTCCTGACCACATGGCTCTTTACTGGAAGCAAAGAGGCCATGTCTCCTATTACTACCGTGTGGACATTGACTCTTTATTGCATTAGCATGTTTCGGTGGTTTCTTATTTCTTTTTTTTTTAGGTTACATACCCCAATGTTTTCATGTATGTTGTAGTAGCTATTTTGAGTAAAAGGAGGACGAATTTCCTTTTCGGGTTAGTTTTGTCTTTTTTGGGCTTGGCATCCCAATACTACATACGCCATCACGGAATTTTCCTCCCTCTAATTATTATTGTTCCATCCTTAAAGCCCTCTCGCCCTTCACTTCCCCCCTGCAGCTCCGTCCAATCGGACAGCCCGCTCTCCCCATTACTCCTTGTTTTCAGTCGCAAAATGCGGCTGAGTCCTCATTGCCTTCATCTTCACCTCGAACTCTTCGGATCTGCATGGATTTGAATTGACTACGCAAGTAACACGCTGGAGATATTTTCTTGCAGTTTCCTACAATACATATTCTCGAGCAATGCAGTATAGACTATTCTTTCAGAAAATGCTCACTTATTTTATATAGTTCATTTGTTCCACAAAAGCCTAGATCATTTTGGCTGTCCCGTTTTCCTCGAAGGATTTACTTACCTTCGATCACACGAGTCACTTTGTCGCTTGTGCGTTTCCTGCTGCCTCATCCGTGTGACCCACTTCCGGTCTATCCTGGGTCTACGATATGCGGGGGAATCTGTGGGGGAAACCGGAGTCGGAAATGTCAGTGCGAGCCAACCCCGGGGCTAATATCTCTCTATTTCTCTCTCTCTTCTCTGGACCGAGTCCCATAGATAACAGACTTCCCTGTTACCATCAAAATGTGCCGTTGGCCGACTATCGGTAATACACCAAGACAAGCCAAGACTTGAGGAACAGCGCCAAGAGAGCTTGGATCCCGGGCCCAAATGATTACCTTCTTTTTCATTTGACGGCATCGCCGCTGTTTCTGGTGTGTATTTTTCAACGGCTCACAGTTCTCCTAGCACATGGTGCAAATATTTTCAAAATTGATTTGAAATGTGACCTGCAGCCTTCCAAGTCGCAGCGCAGGTTCCATCCAGCTCAACCTTTTTTTCCGCTGTGTCATCAGATGTCGACTTTCCACACAATGTCCAGTGCCAAGATTCTTGCTCTCTCCGCGGTCTAACTTTAATGAATTTCGGAAACCATCCGAAAGGACGGCCAAATGAGGATATCTACCATTAAGGTATGCGTCATATATGCCCAGTTTGTAGGGATATCAAAGTGGCTTGGGCGCGAAAGCGAGCGCCATTGATGTGAAACTTGGCGGCCATTGGCCTGCAGACCATCAACCGTGCTTGGCGTGGGGTAGCGGCTGGGGTACGGGCTGTGGTACTTCTTGATACATGGCCGATCGAACTCTATCCCTCGTGGACAGCTGGTAGAGCTATGGGTTTGTTCTTGCCCGAGAATCGGAGAATTAAGGAATGTGGATTGAATGCTCAAGACAAAGGCTCGGCGCAGGACCACTGTATGAGACCCCGTGGCGCAATATTGAAATTTAAGAGATTGTCCATGCCCGCTCTTTGCATAGCTTTTTTTTCCCCGAACGTAGCCTCTCCCTCACAGTCTTCTTTCTCTTACTGCCGACCTGGAAGACCTCTGCTGAGCCTATCGTCTTCATCTGGGCTTCATTCTCTCGAGCTTTGCGGCGCTGCCACATTGTCTCTTACATAGGTTCATAACCTCGATACAGGATTGACCTCTTCATTTTTCTTTACGACCAGTCTAGAAACTACAGATAACATCATTCATCATGGCGGGTGGTGCTGTTGTCAATGTCTTCAAGTTCAACACGGGCGGTTTGCCCAAGGAGACGCTCAACGCAAAGCTATGGTTCGCTGTCTTTGCGTTTGGTCTCATGGGTGCTGCCCGTGGTGTCGACGAGGGTCTTATAACGGGTGTCTTCAACTCTCACGCTTTCAAGCAGTCTGTCGGTATTGACGACCTCGATAAGGGTGAGCTCGCTAGTCTCAAGGGTACTATTTCTTCTATGGTTCAGCTCGGCAGTATCGCCGGTGCTCTTTTGTAAGTCTTGATATTGAGGCCCATCACTGTCGTTTTACGCCCGAGAGTCTTTGCTAATTGTGGCTGAATAACAGTGCTTTCATCGTTTGTGATCGTATCGGCCGTGTTTGGGCTACTCGTCAACTCTGCTGTCTGTGGATTCTTGGCATCGCCATCTTTATTGGAAACAACGGCAACATGGATGCTGTCTACGCTGGTCGCTTTGTTGCCGGTCTTGGTATTGGACAGACCTGTGTCGTCGGTCCGATCTACCTTTCTGAAATTTCCCCCGCTCCCATCCGTGGTCTCTGCACCTGTATGTTTACTGGTGCTGTGTATCTGTGAGTTCATACTCTTCTGTATTGCCTCACTTGCCGATACTAACACTAAGTCTAGTGGTATCATGATTGCCTATTTTGCCAACTGGGGTGCTCAGATTCACATGGCGGACACCTTCAACCGCTGGGTAAGTGCTGGTCCTACAATAAGTATCGTACTAAGTTGGCTAACACGTCCTTCCATACAGGCTGTCCCCACTTCACTCCACCTCATGTTTGCCGGCATCATCCTGATTCTCACCTTCTTCCAGTTGGAATCCCCCCGTTTCTATATCAAGCAAGGCAAGCGTGAAAAGGCCCTTGAGGTTCTCTGCAAGCTCCGTGGCCTACCCGCCGATCACCCGTACATTCTCAACGAGATCACTGAAATGGACGTTGCCTTCCAAGAGGAGATGGAGGCCACCCTCGGCATGGGCTGGAAAGGCCTGTTCAAAGAGATTCTTGGCATTAAACGTAACTCGTACCGTCTGTTCCTCACCAACCTCGCTCAGAACATGGCTTGCTGGTCCGGTGGCTCTGCAATTACCGTGTACGCCCCGGATTTGTTCACGCTTGTCGGAATTACCGGCCAAGAGCAGTCTCTGTTTTCGACAGTCGTCTTCGGCGTCGTCAAGTTCGTCTCCGCCATCATCTGTGCTCTCTTCCTGGTCGATATGGCTGGTCGTAAGCGCTCTCTCATTATTGGAATCATCCTCCAGTCCATTGCCATGTTCTATATTGCCATCTTCCTCAACCTCGTCCCCATCGCTGAAAATCCCGGCTTTGTCCCCTCCGAGACGCAGAGCCGTGCATCGACCGCGGCCATTGCCTTCATCTACATCTCTGGCGTTGGTTGGGCTCTAGGATGGAACAGTGGTCAGTATCTGCTGTCCTCGGAGCTTTTCCCTCTTCGTATTCGTGGTATCTGCTCATCTATCACCATGGCCATGCACTTTGTTTGCCAGTACGCTGTCAACCGCTCACTGCCTGAGATGCTGCTCGAGCATGGAGGCCTCGGCCCTCACGGAACCTTCTACTTCTTTGGTGTCATTTCCGTTCTTGGCGGCTTTTGGGTTTGGCTATTTGTACCCGAGGCCGCTGGTCGCAGCCTCGAGACTATTGACAAGATGTTCGACCTTCCCTGGTACAAGATCGGTCTCCACGGAAGGAAATTTGCCGAGGAGTACGACCGCGAACAGGAGCGGATTTACCACGATGAGAAGAGGGATGGAGGAATTGTTGTTTCTCATAAAGAGACTGCCTAGTCTTTCTCAGTTAACTAAAATGACGTATCCCTTGGAGGGAGATATATCTCAGTCTTAGAACCTTGCAATCCTCTTTCCTACCGACATAGGCATATAAAAAACCCCTTCAAACTTGATCTAATACCTTCTCTTTATACACCTCCTCAATCAACCCTAATGGAGGAAATCAAGTTTATACCTCTAATGGCGCTCCCACTTTACACCCGCTTTGCATTCACACTCCCGCCGACCAGTATCACTTCCCACCGTATGATCAGTCGCTCAGAATTCAAGTTGAAGGTTCCCTGATCGCCATACAAAGGCTCCTGGGTATTTAAAGGAGCGAGGGAGACATTCACTCACTTCAAAAGTGAGGAAGAGAAGATAGTTAGTTGTCTGAGGTTAAAGATGAGCTGCTACCCTTGGCATTCACTCGATCGCTCCTTTCTGTCAGTTCATCCTATTACTTCCCACTATGTCCCCGGATTTTGATAAAAGCAAAACTACCCCCTCAATCCTCTCAATTGCCATTTGATCCAAGGTCTTACAATTATTGGCCATCAACCATAGAGACTGAAGAGACCAATGGACTTGCGGCCCAGCCTCTTGCCTCGCCCATTATTGAGGCAGAGCCAACTTCTCCCGAGGGGACTGAGCCAGTCCCAGTCCCTCTTCTTGCCTTACCTATCATCGAGCCGATATCGTTGTCTTAACCTAGCCGAGGCCCATTGGAAGAACCTAGTCACTATGACGAGACATCAGATGCACAGCTTGCCAGTATGCCACCTCGCCAGCAGTTTCACTACCCTTTGTTGAAATAAGCGTTGAAAGTTCTCACCGACAACACTATCTCAGTTGTGGAGTACGGGGGCCAGGTGCTATACAAATGTGGATATGCAGAGGCTCTAATTGTAAGTTGTGAAAGCTTCCTCTCCAGTTCCGTAGATGGGACATCTGGTTAACATCATTCTAATAGCTTGTAGAGTGGGCTATACCCGATAAACAGCTGCTGCTTGCTTCATAGCTTTTGCTCGAAAACAACTGGCCATACCTTCTTTACTACGAGAAAAATTGGAATGGATGCCCTAGAATCCCTGAATACTGTGAAGCTCAATACCTGATGCACGACTTTGAAGGCCAGGGCTGGATGCGTATCTATCTTATCCCTTTGTCACTAGTTGGCTTTCCCTCTTGAGGATACTGTCGAGGTTCCCGCGACATTTGCCCACGAGTGCCACCTCCTCACGCCCAAACTTCCTCATTACATGTCATCCTTGATACGCCATCTCTTGCAGCTCCCGATTGGCCACAGTAGCAGAGTTCGAGTTGAGAAGGATCTTATGGGTTTTATTTCTGCTTACATTCTCAAAGATGGACCAGCTGATACGACTATTTGGACCCATCTTAATGACCAGGAGAGCGACGAGGACTACCAGAAAGGAGTCAGAGAATGGGTCCAATTTATAAAGACATGGGACTGGGGTGATATTGAGGGAAGGTACCTGACTCTAGCTAAATTTGCAGTCCGAGATTGCCGCTACATCGATACGCTGACAGACGTCCACGATGAGAATCGCACGCTCTGAGTTGACCTTACGGGGTTGCCGGAGCTTTTGATGCTTCTTAAGAGATGCAACTCTCTACCTGTGGCTTGTGTTCATATTTACAGGCAGAATATTGCAAAAATTGTCTGCAAAACTCTGACTCGATTGTATGATGATATAGAACAGGCAGAAAGACAAAAGGTATCGAAAAAAAAATCAAGACGCCATGACCTTAAAAAGCATCGGTCGAAAGTGAAGGCTGGAGCCCAGATAATAATTGGTCATCACTCGTCAATCCAGCCATGAAACATGTACTTGTGGTGTCCCGGTGATTTGAAAAGACACACCGTCAACAACATAGACTCAATCTGTACGTACTGATATTGTATCATATTGCCATAGGGCCCAGCGTCAAGACCAAGGCCCATATTCGTGCCCCCAGTTCAGTCCCGCGGCGATTTATGCACGCCCGTGAGTTTCCAAGTGTCCCATTTCAGACCCCGCAATCATACACATCAAATAGCCGAAGGTCAAGTCACGAGAAAGAAATCGCCGATTGCCTCCCGGAGTTGAGTATGTCAGCGCCAATCACCGGCGTCGTTCGAACCAGGCAGACGAGCCCATGACAGCTACCGACTGGTCCATCATCCACTCGCCTACACCAAGGTAGCTGTCAACCCATTTCTTAACGTCTTTGTTCTCTGTGATCTTGTCTGAATTGAGGCTGGGGCTAGGAAGGTCCCACGCACACACGACCCAACGGGGGTGCGCGGGGGTAAATAGAGTTAGCCAACGGTTCTCTCATGCATATCGAGAACATCCAAGATGAGCAACAAGCAGAATGACGGATAGCTTGGAATAAGAAGATCGTGAGGGGTAGGGTGTATTTACGTGAGGCCCGTGGAGCGCTTGACGCCTGCCAGGAAGGCGGAGACTGAGGTTGAAGACACTAGTTAGTTTGTATTCCAAGGTAAAATATAGACAAGGGACTCACATAGCACTGCATCAAATGCGTAGTGGGTAAGACGGCCGAACTAGATTGCACCGAACATCCAAGTCAGTCATGCTCTATGGTCGGGGGACCTCGGTTGTCCAGGATCTACCAGCAAAGGGCTCTTACCATGATGTCAAGTAGACGGGTTCAACACTGTTGATATTGAGTAACCGGTAGTCACCAAAAGCTTGAGAGACAAAAGTAAGAGGAGACCCAAGCTGCCATGGAGACCGCCCAAAGAGCGGTCACGTGTGTATTCACATGACGTCTAGTCTCTAAAGTGGCTGGAGAGGAGGCTGGAGAGACTGAGGACCTGACGTAATCCATGTGGCTGGGGACCAGATCTGTCCACTTTAGCACTAGTCCGGATGCGGTCTATCGATAAGCGCTCTCATCCCACCGAAATCCCCTTTCGCCTCTGGGGTCTTTGGGCTGGGGCCTCGATCAATTGGGTGTCTTTATTTGTCACGTTTACATAGTATTCGATAAAGGGACTCCAATGTACAGCGCGTAGGCCAGCACGGGGCAATCCTCCGCTTTTTTGCGGTCAGCCCAGTCTGGAGTTGACGTATAATTTTTTTTCTGCCTGGAGTATGTATGCCGCCTCTGCCGATACCTCCGGGTTTTAGAAAATATAGAAAGTATAGCTAAACAAAGAGAAAGAAACAAATATGATTCAAAGATGCATATTCCGCCGAATTTACGGGTTGGTTTAGTATAGATATGGTTTAGTGTCAATAGTCCGGACAAAAAAAATGTCTGGGATGCCGCCGATACTCACACCGGCAGCCAACATTTTCCCTCCCGCCCCTCACCCATCCGTTTTCTCTTTCCCCTCCATCTCTCATCCTTTCTCTTCTACCATCCTCTCTGATAATTGATCAGAACTTCCTTACCTTTTCTACATTAATTCAACAATTGTTGATCATATCAAAATGGCGGCCACCAGCTCCCTCGATCACCTGAGCAACCGCATGAAGCTGGAGTGGCACTCCAAGCTCAACACCGAGATGGTGCCTGCGAAGAACTTCCGCCGTACCTCCATCATTTGCACTATTGGTATGTCATTATCCATGAGAAGCTCTTTCAGGTCGAGCCTGTCAAAGAAGTTGCAATTGAGAAAAATCCCGATTACTAATATGCAATCGATCAGGTCCCAAGACGAACTCTGCTGAGAAGATCAATGCTCTCCGCACAGGTATGCGAATATAATTTCCGATGGCAATAGGCAGCTTTGTTGGGTAGTTAGACTAACATGGCCATAGTCGGTCTTAACGTTGTTCGCATGAACTTCTCCCACGGATCATATGAGGTCAGTATCTCCAATCATCATCTGATGAAGACTTCCACTGACTTCTCTGCAGTACCATCAATCTGTCATTGACAACTCTCGCGAGGCTGCCCGTATTCAGACTGGTCGCCCTCTCGCCATTGCCCTCGACACCAAGGGCCCCGAGATCCGTACCGGTAACACCGTCGGTGACAAGGACTACCCCATCGCGCAGGGCACCGTGCTTAACATCACCACCGATGAGGCATACGCCACTGCTTCCGATGATAAGAACATGTAAGATCATCCCCACTGCCGAAGGGTGAATTGTTCCAATCGACGTTCACTCAATGTATTTGCGTGGACTGACAAGTGTGTGACGACAGGTACCTGGACTACAAGAACATCACCAACGTGATCACTCCTGGCAAGCTCATCTATGTCGATGATGGCATTCTGTCCTTCGAGGTGATTGAGATTGTTGATGAGCAGACCCTTAAGGTCAAGTGCTTGAACAACGGCAACATCTCCTCCCGCAAGGGTGTCAACCTTCCCGGCACTGACGTAGACCTCCCCGCTCTCTCGGAGAAGGATATTGCCGACTTGCGATTCGGTGTCAAGAACAAGGTCGATATGGTCTTTGCCTCATTTATCCGTCGCGGCAGCGACATCAAGCACATCCGTTCCATCCTCGGCGAGGAGGGTAAGGAGATCCAGATCATCGCCAAGATTGAGAACCAGCAGGGTGTCAACAACTTCGATGAGATTCTTGAGGAGACCGACGGTGTTATGGTCGCCCGTGGTGACCTCGGTATCGAGATCCCCGCCCCCAAGGTTTTCCTTGCCCAGAAGATGATGATCGCCAAGTGCAACATCAAGGGCAAGCCCGTTATCTGTGCCACCCAGATGCTGGAGTCCATGACATACAACCCCCGCCCCACTCGTGCTGAGGTTTCCGATGTTGCCAACGCTGTCCTCGATGGTGCCGACTGTGTCATGCTGTCTGGCGAGACCGCCAAGGGCAACTACCCTTGCGAGGCCGTTAAGATGATGTCCGAGACCTGCTTGCTCGCCGAGGTTGCCATTCCTCACTTCAACGTCTTTGACGAGCTGCGCAACCTCGCCCCTCGCCCCACTGACACCTCCGAGTCCATTGCCATGGCTGCTGTCAGCGCCAGTCTGGAGCTGAATGCCGGTGCCATCATCGTCCTGACCACCAGGTATGTACCCCGACAGAGCTCTTGTCGTTTGTGTGTCCATCATGCTAACAAGTTCATAGTGGTAAAACCGCCCGCCTTGTGTCCAAGTACCGTCCCGTCTGCCCCATCCTGATGGTCACTCGTAACGAGACCGCTGCCCGGGTAAGTCCAATTCGATCGTTCGAATGTCGTTCTTTGCTGACAACAGTTTCCAGTACTCCCACCTGTACCGCGGTGTGTGGCCTTTCTACTTCCCCGAGTCCAAGCCCGACTTCAACGTCAAGATCTGGCAGGAGGATGTCGACCGTCGCCTCATGTGGGGTATCAACCACGGTCTCAAGCTCGGCATCATCAACAAGGGCGACCCTATCGTCTGTGTCCAGGGATGGCGCGGCGGTATGGGCCACACCAACACCGTTCGTGTGGTGCCCGCCGAGGAGAACCTCGGTCTGAACATGGAGTAAATCTTCTGTAAATTGATCAGATGGTAAGCTTTTTGGTGATCAATGATGATCCATTGTGCTTTGTTTACCGCCGGTGTGCGGATGGGATACATACCTTTCTTTTTTCTCTGTTCTGGCCTTTTTTTTTTCCTTTCGAAGCCAATTTGTTCTGTACTGTGTGGTCTGGACCATACTCTGGAAGGTTAATGCATTGCTCATGTAAATGAAACGAATTTAATGCTTTCCGGTTAAGTTAATGAGTTAGTAAAGACTAGACAATTCATATTGAATAGACATGACACTGGTCTTTTATGCTTGAGAGACCTTGTAGACTTGGTCGCGCATCGAGAGAGTTCGCAAATTGTCGCGTAGTCTCGCATATATGCAAGCCAATGCAATGCAATGCAATGCAGAGTAATTGCTCCGAAATTCCCTGCATTGAAACTGGAATGATCCTTTTTCAAAGATGACTCCAGTCAAAAGAAGCAGGAAAAACGAAAAGTCGAAGGAAAACCAGATGCGGGGGACGCAGGGACCCGACGCAGGCAGTTTAAACCCGCGAGACCGAGGCCCATCTGCCCGAGGGGATGACGATATCAGGCATATGCCGTGAACGCATTCTGTCCACGGTCTTTTCCTTTCTCTGCCACAGAGGGAATGCGATTTTTGAAATCTTCACTTCACAGCAATGAAATTGAAAAGAGAATTAGAAAAAAAGTGTAGTAAATTTGTTAAACAAATTTCCGGGAGCCCTTGGCGTCCCGATCCCGGTTTCTGCCGATGGTTCCAATGTTGAGATTAGGCCCCGAATATATAGATCTGTGTCATTTCAACTTGAAATCATATGTACCTAGCAGCGACAACATCATTTAAGGATAAAAATCAAATTATTCTTAAACAAGGACTACACTCCTTTCCAAGAAAAGATCCGAGAGGAACTTCATGCAAGCACGAATGTAATAATATTCTATAGTAAGAAAAGTCCCACATGCTAGGGTTGTGCCAGAGGCCCGCTTATCATATTCAAAATCTTTCCTTCTGATACTCTTCACGAAGCGAGATCATACAATGGCAATGGGGCCTTTGTCTCTAGTCATATCATTCCGCTTACCGCAGAAAAGGACGTTCGCGGGTTT